CTCGATGCTGGGGCAGCCCGCGGCAGGCACTGGGTACCCGGGGCCGGGGTGTGAGAGGGAGCGCAGGGGGCTGGGTTGTACCTGGCTGCCTCCTCCCTCACACCCCGTACGGCTTCTGTGGAAAGTTTGTGTGGGGCTAGTTTGTGTGGAAAAGCCCCAAGTATTTTTTTGGAGTGGCTGTGCGTGCTGAGCCCCGGGGCAGAGCACCTTTGGGGTGTGTAGGTACCTCCCTGCAGCAGGTGGGATGAGCTCGCTCCGCTCCGGACAGCAAAAGCTGCCTGCGCCCCATCGCTGATTGTTCCTCAGCATCGGGAGGCCAGAGCCGGCTTCCCGTCCAGGTTTGGCCAAAGCACAAGCCCCTACGCATTGCAGGGCCGGCATGGCCCTCTGCAGAACTGTGTTCACATTTGCACACCAATAAAGTACTGGGAAAAAAGGAGGAGAACGAAAGAGGGTAACATACCATACACAAATGAAGTAAGAAAAGTATCTAATCTTCAATTCAGAGAAAGATGTCAGAGAATTAGATTTAGAGGACTTACCTAGAAACACTGAAGGAGTTAAATGTATCTAACCTGGCTAAACAGCACTAAAGAGGGCACATGACAGGCACACGGATTTGAAGAGTCACCCGGAAAGATGGAGAGTAGCAGTGCCACTGGCTCAGGTCCTGTTCTGCGTATTAAGATTTATGTTAAGACACTGCAAAGATTTTACTTCCCATTCTAACTGGGACAGTTCTCAGTCTGACAGTTCCACAGTTCTGGAGAGTGCTCACTCCCTACCTCATGCATGGTGTGCAGAAGAGAAGTGCTTAAGGTTGTTAGAGTAGAAACATATTAGCAGCTGTATCTGCCCTAGCAGCATTTTGACAATGTACTTTCCCTAATTTTAAGAAATTGCAGCATCCTTCCTTCTGGAAGTGTATGGACAAAAGTGTATTTCAAAAGAGTCATTAATCTTAAAAACATTTTTGCATCAGTTAAACTACAGAATAAATAAATGTCAAGCATGCATTACATGTTTTCCCTTGGGGCTGCTTGTTACCACCATTACACCAACTAACCATTCCATCAGCTTTTTCTGATTCCCAGCACCCCCTCTTGCCCCCAGCCAGGATGGGGGTTGTCAGAGCTCAAGTTAAACATTTCAGCAGAACTGGACAGTGTTTAGTCTTCAGAGTCACATTATTGACTTGATTTGAAGTTCATGCTTAACACGTGGTCTCTCTTCTCCTGTAGTGTTTGTAGTGGGCATCAGTCGAAATCAACACATATCCCTGCAGTGAGGAGAACAGTCATGGACATACTATGAATTAAAATTTTGGGGTTTCTTAAGTTCAAATTGATCTTGGTGTTTAAGGTCCAAAAATCTACTGAGAAGAGCTGAACCTTGGAAGTAATAAGTTTTATTCAACTCTGTCCTTTGAACTTTGCAAAAGGACTCTATCTTTCCCTGGGTGCTATCCCTTTGCACCATGTTAGTGACAGAAGGGAATCTAAAGATCATACAGCCTACTCAGGAAGGTTCATCTGAGCCTTGAGGCAATTAGGCAAGGATCACAAGGGATTACCGAATTTGTGCCACTTAGGAATTAGCCATTCAATCTAAGCTTGTCCTTAAAGCTTCCCCCAGTGTCAGCACATACAGAGCAATAGGCCTGCAAAGAGCAGCTCATCACAGTCACAGAATCACAAAATGAGTGAGGCTGGAAATAACCTTAAACACCATCCAGTTCCAACCCCCCTGCCATTGGCAGGGACACCTTCCACTAGATCAGGTAGCTCAAAGCACCATCCAGCCTGTCTATGAAAAGTAAGAATTGTTTTTCTTCCTGTTGACCATAGCCATCAGACTGGGACTGGAAGTGGGAACTCTAGAACTAGAGTCTAAACTCTAGCCTTTAAATGGGAATCTCATTCACTTTGGTAGGGCATGGCAATTCTGTGTTGTCTCTCATTCCCTTGTTACTGATGAGGAGATTGGTGAGAGAACATGAGGGGGGAATGGGCACCGCAAAATTACTAAAATCCTTCATTCACAATTAGTCTATAAGACTGTTGGCAGTGAGTGCCACTGAAAGCACTGTGTGAGCAATTCTATTTTGTAGGGAACCAGGTATGTGGGAGGCAAAGAACAATTAAAATCAATCTTTGCATTTCCTTACCTGAGCTGTGTTTTGTGCTTAACCACTAACAAAGATTTAGAAGTCTCTGCAAAGAAAAACTTCAAAAAAACTGAAAATAACTTTGAGAAGTTGTTAAGCAAGTGGAGAAATGCAGAAGGCTTACTCATTTTCTGGGCATTAATTTGTCAGCAATGCCCTTGTACTGACTGGTTACCTAGCAACATTCTGTGTGCCCAAACTAAGGGCTAGTTTTGGAGAAGGATAACCAGAAGGCAAAAAATATTTTCTGAGAGCTCACTGGCTACTTTTGGCTACTAGCCTCAGTCATTATCACCAATTATTAACAAAATCCGGGCATCCTAGATGCACAAAATTGAATTCTCGTCCCTCTCATATTCCAAGTATTCAACAAAACTGTGAGATAGCAATAACTCTAATTTGATGTGGTTGGCCAAACTTGAACAATATGTCAAGCCCGTTTTTACACTCAATTCCAATTTAGAAGGCTGAAAAATTGTACATTTGATCACTTCATATTTATATAATCAGTTCTAACTTTTCCTCTCAAAGAAAGATACATTTGTTTCTAATAGAATTTTACCATTACTAGGGACCTCATTTTAAACCCATTTTTATTAGTTAAGTAGCTCCAACACAGCAAATTTCTGGCACTGAAGAAAGTGAATAAATGCCTAGGGAAAAAAAAAAGAAGTAAAAAGAGAGATAACCTTTTATAAAGGAAAATCTTTCATAAGTACCAAATCTCACCTGTACAATTGTAATGTGAGGTCTTGTCAAGGTAACATTGGCCAGATTGGGAAGAGGGAATCCTTTTGACAGTTTAGCTTAAAAAAGAGACAAATTATGATTTAGGTATGCATTAGAAAGATAATAAACTCCTGCCCTTCAACAATGCTGTTCATCCAGAGACTTGTAGGTCATTTCTAACAATCAGCCTCTTAGGCTTCACAAGCAAGCCTGGGAGGCTGCTAAGATGCTCATTTAGCAATGGGGAAAAAAAGAATTACGAGTGCTTCTCTCTTGGCAGAGTGTTGCAGCCAAACCAAGGATTTCATGTTCAACATATTACATACTGAGTGCTTTGTCCCTAATGATCCCTGAGGGATTATTAATACAGCTCTACCATCATTAGGACCTGCTCCCATTTGTATCCATTAGCTAAAGAAGGTGATGTTTATCCCAGGGCTGACACAAAGCTGTATCTCCCTCCAGGGCCTTAAATAAGATTTATGAGAGGCAAAAGCTCTGTTCTGGTCTAATAAAAAGGAATACATTTCACATATAGTGGCCTCAGGCAGGTGTGCAGATGAGAGAGATTTTGCTTTTCTCCCTGATGCGTCAGGACCACCTAGACTGAGATGAAGGCAGATGAATTTTTGGTTTCCTAGTAATTTTTCCCCTTTTTACAGAACAGTGAGAGGGAGCACTTACACCCCTACAATCTTTGCCTTCCACTACTTACTGGCAGATGGTCATTTTCTACTCCAAGTTAATGGGAGCTGACAACTTAATCAGAAAGTCAGTAGAAGTTCCTAGAATAACCCATTCTGATGG